ATTTTGCTGTTCGCTCGAAAGTGCCCAAAAATAAGTTTATATTTATCTGAAGAGAGAAAATATTTACACTCTAATAACTATCTAACTACCACTAACCTGTTACTAACGCAGCATTATGTAATCAAAAGGAGCCGGTTAATCTCCGGGTCTAAGTACTAAGGCATTAGCCTGTAACACAACTAGCTACAAAAAATTAATACATGGTTTAAGTCCTGAAAATTCAAAACGTATATCAAATCCTTCAGTCAACTTTAAGAAATGCACACTACAACATACTAGTTTGATTTTCTTTATCTGCTGCCTTGCACTTGGATATATCTAGATAATTGAGTAATGATTTCTTTATTTTTTTTTAAATTTATTGAAATTGACCTTAGTTGTATGCCTGCAAAGCATATATTTCCTGAATTTATAGCAGTGTAACGATGGATGCCGCACATTTTTCTCTTCCCACAAAATTGCACGCGTTACCCTTGCCTTCCCAATCATGTACAGGTAGAATCTCGAGTTTCCAGCTTTGTCTCCCTAAAGCGTCCTTGGAGCCTTGAGATTTTTGGAGAAAAATCGGGATCATTTGTCTGGGCCTGTAGCCTGTAGCTTTTTCCGAGACCTTTGGCCGTTCTGACTTTCTTCTGATACCAGAGTTCTAGATTCCAATCTTTTTCCATGCTTCTATTACCCATTTTGTAGCCTTCTGGCACAAACCCAAATCACCATCATTATGAGGCTAACAAAGTTCAGATCGTGTGGTACGGTCGAAGCCCTACTCATCACCTACTCTTAGTCTTGGAAGAGAAGCTATGAGATGAGTTCCCGTTGCGTACCCAGCACCCGATACGGCGATGGTGGACTTGATCAAGTCGGCCTCTACTGTTACAAAGGAAGATATAGATGAATATGCGCACCTCATGTGGTCCCGGTGCCTAGGCCTCGCCTGGCTGGGGCTGCAGGTTTTTTGATAATTCTTTCCGCACACAAGAAATTTGTATCGCTACTTTTTTCCATTCAGAGGATCCCGTAGAAAAGGTAGCTGGATTTCACAGGTAATTACTGAGTTGAATGGATATCCCTCATGAGAATTAAACTAAACATCTTTTTCGTGACAAAGGAGGATAGGAGCATTATGCGAAGATGGCCTGTGACTCAATTAACATAATTAAACTAACCCAAACCAAGCGGTTGGCGCAATCCAAGGAGTGGTCGTAGGAGTTGATTTTCCGGTCATGAAATTGGGGGGTTAAGGGCGAGGCGCAGGGCTTGAGACCTAGTCACTTCCTTTTCATGCCTTTTCCTGGTACCTTGAGAATCAGATATGATGATAATATTGAGTCTTTCAGGATTAGCTGTCCGGGCCGTACTCTTGGATCTAGGGTTTGTGCCTGGAACGGTAAAGCCGACAAATTAGATCAAAAGATGCAGATAATTTGCAAAATAATTTAACCACTGTATTGCCTTAATGCTATAGCTTATAACAGGCAACAAGAAAATTTCCCTGCCCAGCAAGGTCATATCTGCACTCAGAGCATGAGAAAAATCAGCCTTTTTTCTCCCAACGATATCAGATTTCCCCCCGCGACCACGCTCAACCTGCGATATTGTGGAAACTCTATTTCGCTTAATCTCTAAGGATCCCTGTCATGTATACGTATGGGAAGTACTCCTCGGGGAGATCCGAAAAAAACATTGGCTACCCGACTAGTCTGCCCCACATGCAGTAAGGCTGAGCGTCATCAATAAATATTAGTCGCATATCACAACTACCGCGACAGATTGCAACGTAGGTAAATGTTACACTTACTTTGATAGGCTTAGATATATGAGTGATATGAGTAATAAATCAGACTCACATTGTAACCCAAATTTAAAGCAGCAGTCTCTCAGTCGGCATACCGCCCAAGAAAATTTAAAATAGAGATCACTACGGTCCAATAGTTTTCCGGCACAAGCTCGACTTGATTTTTACGAAGCGTCATTGCCTATTTCCTCTGGTCTTCGAAATTACCCGTAGGATAGCAGCGATATTTCCTTGGGCAAATCATTTATTTTCGTACACTTGTAGTTGTCGCAATTTGCAACATTTAATAGAGAGTATAGACTTGGTTACATCAAATCCCTATCTCCATGCGATTACCGAATTCTAATCTTAACTTGGTATTCCTGAATAAACTTCTTTTGTGAAAAAGGCCATGTGTCTATTTTGCAGTTATAAATGTAAAATCAGACTACGCACATACTTGTGGAGCATAAATGAATTCAGTCCTGAATCTTGGAATTGAACTTACTGAGGGAGTCGGGCACGTCAAAAATGTGTCATACAGAATAATGGAGTGTAGGACTACATGAACTGTGTTCTACTGGTCAGGTAAATTGTCGTCTGCAAAAGTAACTGTAATTTTCCGAGTGTTGACTATGTTATTGTACACTTTCATGCGCGAGAAACAATGGGAGATATAGAGCTGCCATTAGTCTACTACATGAATCTTATTTTGCACAATATGTGAGAGCAGTCCAGAGCGGAGAGCGCTGACTAATCAAAGAAAGGGGCGCAATAGGCACCTTTCGTGCATCGCCTTGCCCCTAAGTCCCGCCCTGATCATCGTCCACCATCAACTCTCGCTTAGAGCTGAGCTTAGCTGATATCGCGGACAGAGTGGAAACGATGGATGTTTCATCGCGTGCTCATTTGCTATCTGATTTTCGGAACATTTCTACCAAGATCCTCATACCTAACTGTGTCATTGGATTTAGTAGTTTGAGTCATCTGGTCGGATCAACTTTACAGACTACTCATTACCGATGTCCACTAATATTCAAAGTAACGCAACTTTTGACGACTTGTATTGATCCGCCACAAGAGTAGTTGGGTCCGGGTGAAATTTACTACATAGCTTTCAAGCTCAGTCAATTCCAAAATATTGGGGGGTTCGAGTCGAAACTCCTTCTCCTAGCCAATACAACTGGGGCAAAATTTGTGACCGTGGATGTGAATCCGAGATGTGCTGTGGTGTTAAGTTAGTTTATCAGTCATAGGGTTCCCGGGCAAGGAGGACTCGACCTAATTGAGCACGTGTCACATCTACATGGGCTACAATCCGGAATCCGTTACTGCGGATTCTCCGATTTGGACTCCGAGACGCAGAGTTGGCTCGAATCTAGACTCCTGATGTCAAGGGTAGCTCACCCCAGTTTCAACTGATGCATCCACCCCATCTCAGGCTCATCGCTCGATACTACATCGTATGCATCTTTTCCTGTTCTCATTTGCTTAGTTTAGACGAGGGTTCATTGTTGGTCGACAACAGAGATTGATTGGGCTTTGAAGAAGAGAGCGGAAACAGCAGAAAATATCTCCCCCTTGCCTCTACTGATATTGTGCTAGGAACACTCATCTACTATGTTAACCTGCACGTTGATGCCAAGGGAGCTCCTTGGATTCTGAATCTACTTGTGGCTACTTTTGTGCCTTTGAGATCGTCGAGAGCAATCTGCTCCGGCAGTAGACTACTAAACCCCCGGCATCTTTGTCAACATACAGCAGTACCCATGACATAGCTATTCTGGCACTCCAAACTAGGGGCTTCACCCTTTACAGCGTTTATCGGCTTCATCCCTAAAGCCGCACAGAACCTTCATCAAGGCTACCTTCCGCCATGCGAGATCTCCAGGTAAGGACCCTGTATAATCAGACAGCATACTTCACACTGATTTCCTATAATGGATTTTGACAAAAGTCTAATTCAAAAAGAGTCATCGATAGAGGACTGCTGTGTCGACGCTCAAAGTGTCTCCTGGCGTCCCACAGACACCAATGTTCTAGAGATATTCTGCGACGGGTAGCGGAAGCACACGCTTGAATTCCTACACCCGACTCACTGCGGTACACCCAAGCGCAGAGAACCCAGTTGCAACGAGCTAAAGATGAGGGCTCTTTTCCTATTTCATTCTAGCATATGGGGTATCCAGACGGTTCAAGACTCCCTAATGGCATGTCACATTGATGTTATTACCCATAATTGTCTAGTACAATCAGTATGATGGGTCAGTCTCAAATCTTCTTGCGAAGATCGGTTCAAGTCTCGGACGCTTCACCTAACCAGCTGGAGATTATTACATTTTACACAGAAATAATGATAATCATGGCATTGAATGAAGATAGAGTGCGGTTGAATTATTTAGTTTAGAAATTCAGTCCTTATGTCAATTGCACCAGGTCTCAAATTACAGAGCTGTCGGTAGTGTACCCGACTGGTATAAGGAGACATTCATCCAATTTATTCCACGAAAGGCAGTCTCTTCAGACTGTGAGTGACTTGTCCCGACACTATTGAGGATTGTAGGGCAGTAGATCGGATAGCTGGCCAATTGCCCCACCAGTCCAAACTTCGCATCAAAATTGCTGCACCCTTGAATCGTCAATCAATTCCCAGCTGATATTCGACTGAACTCTTCAACTGTCACGCATGGTATATGCAAGACTTAGCATAGAAAAATTGTACTCATTGGCGATCTGATGCGCATGCATCTCCCTGTGATGGACATCGAGTGCTACTGACGAAACAAATAATATGTTTTTGGATGCGACAGAATTCACGCTCAGTTGCCAAGGGCCGAGCTTGAGTTGAACGCGTAGCTTATTTCTGTTTCCAACCCGCTAGGACGAGATACGTCGATCTCCACCCTGAATGCACAGTTTTTGACATAAACTACCATGGCCTTGGATCTTCCTTTGACTGGCAGGGCCCTGTCAAATAGACCTTCCGGGGGGGACAGGTGATAATGTATCTGGGAGTAGTTGCCGGAGTGGAGGATACGAGCACGATGTGAAGACTATCGTGATACACGGTTGTTACATGCTCAGGCCTGCCCACACTCTAGTAGATTCTTACTCTTTCTTTAAAGCAGCCTGTATTCCTCCGTTCTTTCTCCATCAGCAAGCTGAATACAGCAGCATCATCTAATTAATTCCATTCACTAATAATAATTTGAACTCTGCATCAACAATGCAATTTACACTCGTTCTAATTGGGGCGGCTTCACTTGCCTGGGCAGCACCCCCACCAGCTCTCGCTCCAAAAACTGCAATCACTCCAACTCCAGCTTCAATCGACAATCTGGCACTCAAGCCAATAGCATTTCCCGGTCTTTCATCAACAGTCCCAAAGGTAGCGGTAAATTTACCAAAGGGGGGTCATGCGAAGGAAACAGCGCAGGATCAGCGATTCTTCGAAGATATACCGGAAAGATTTACATCTATGGACAGAATGTGGGATATGTCGGGTAATATTCTAAGTAAAGTCTCCGAGCCTTCTAACTATGAGTCTGTCGCTAAAGAGATCCAGATGCCATGGCTAACGGAACAATTCCTCCCTCCGACGTAGCGAGCCTCATTCAGAAGCTTTTCCGAGCCGCTCAAGCCACCTCAACCCCCCGGTCGGTTTCCGAGGCACTTAGATTAGCTGGGAGCTCTTTTGATAACGCAAATCCAAATCGCCCTCGAAATTTGCTTGGAGCTGCTCTCGCATTGATGATTAATGGTTTTACGTCGGATGACCTCAAAAATACCATTGATGGCAATGTGCGTAAAATTCCCTTATCTGATATTAATATTAACAAAGCTTAGCCCCCAGCTGCGCTGGTCAATGATAATCCACCTGTGCCTGCCGATAAGAATTTTTACCAAAAGGACGGAAATGCTCCGTTCTCGGTATCGGAAGACGACCTACGTGCCGCAATTCACGTCCCCTCGGGATTCACCTGGGGTCAGAAACAGCCAGTCTTAATGTCACCTGGTACTGGATCGACAGGCTTAGAAACCTTTGAACATAATTTCGGTGGACTTTTAGCATCTTCAAGCGTCGCTGATCCTGTATACCTCATCGTACCGCATACCCTTCTAGACGACGTACAAGTCAACGCTGAATTTGTCGCATATGCTCTCCAATATCTAAATGCGATGACCAACCGAACTGTCGCTGCTGTCACATGGTCGCAAGGCTCCGTTGACACTCAGTGGGCTCTCAAATACTGGCCATCAGTGCGAAAAATTGTGACTGACCATATCCCCATCTCTGGTGACTATGGTGGTACAACACTGGCTTACCTCCTCTGCCCCGGATTCAGCGCTGGAAATCAATATCTCTGTACCCCAGCAATTCTACAACAAACTCAGGGTGCTCGTTTCATCCATCAATTGCGCTCCAACGATGGAGACTCTGCCTTTGTGCCCACAACTAGCGTCTACTCGGCAGCCGATGAGATTGTGCAACCGCAACTCGGCGAAGGTGCATCTGCCTTCATCAAGGATGTTCGTGGTGTTGGTGTATCCAACATCTACCTGCAGCGAGACTGTGCCTCGCAACCAAGCGGTGGCCTCTATCTGCATGAGGGTGTACTGTACAATCCAACTGCCTATGCCTTGATCATAGATGCGCTCACCCATGATGGCCCAGGAAGTCTATCGCGCGTGACAAATAGTTGTCGTGATAGCGTTGCCCCAGGGCTGAATACTGCAAGCGTTATTCAAGCCGAGACACTCATTCCATCCCTTTTATACCGCGCATTGACATATTCCTCGAAACTGGTCGAGGAACCAGCAATTAAAAGTTACGCAACTTATTGATAATTTGCGAAAAACAGAATGCAACCGAGTGCCCATGGCACAATTACTCACATTTTCTTTTCTTACGGATCATTACGCACTAATAATTTAAATAAACCAACTATAGATATTACCCATTGAAGTATTTAATCGCGATTTAGTTGTAACTCGTCAAAAAATAACAACCACAACCAGCTACCAGAAGGCTAGAAATTGATGAATACCTCCGCAACCGACTCTTTCTACCACCTCTGATAACATTATACATCTTTTTCTGGTGCTAGGTCTGACCAAAGAAGTCACAGCTATCGTTCAAGCCATTTAAAGTCTTCATTAGTCTCTGCACTCAATGATTCCAATAGCATTGATACAGGAATTGCGCACACTTACAGAACTTTAGCCCTATTCGTGCGCCGAAAGCTATTCTGGTCAACGAGAAGTTGGCATCTATTGATATTGTTTTACTTGCATTACGGGGAGTTGGGAGCACGCATGTGTACGGTTCAAGGGGAGTAATCGGTGCATTTACTATTTTTGAGGAAATGAGGTGAATTATGCAGGGAAAGTACTTTTTGGTATCAAATAAAGTAAATTTAATCATGAACTTGAATATCTACTACCTGTAGACAGATTTCAACCGACCGGAACAGTACATGAGACCATGATCCACTTCTGATATTTCGAGTAGACGCTCGGCTGGCTCTTAAGATTAGCCTAACGATTAATTAATGGTCCCCTTCGCGCCTCTTAACACTAAATATTTGTCTCCTGTGATGAGAGGTAGATACACTACTTGATCACCCGTTCAAAGCCAAGATTGACTATATCGGTGGGAGCAAATTCGAACACTGTGAGTGCCTCAGATGTTTCGCAGATTAAAGATAGCCCCAACCTATTTACGGGTGATTCTCCGAAGCCGAGAAAAACTCGATCAACGCAGCTGTAAACCGTCTAATTTTGTTCCCGGACCAACGACGAGTTTGGTCAAGATTTTACTACTTTATTTATGTCTATGACTACCCATCATATTGGGCGCCTCTCTCACCCAGGCCACACCGTGTGCAGCGCTCCTTTCTTTATTGTTGCGTGGTGTGCGCGTCTGATGTAATGTACATGTTAGACAGCCAATTGGCTAGATAACAAGCCGGTGGAATCCCAATCTATCGCCACAAAGTACTCACATGTCCTTGTGCAGCCGCAGACTTATTCGGACCATAATTACAAAAATAGCCGACGATTACAGTCTCGATAATTATGGGGCCTTGCTCGCAATGTCAGGGCAGAGGTCACGAGATAGATGAGGTCTGATCTGATGATTGAGATTGTCTACAGCGAGAGGTGACACCTATCGAGTCTTGCAAATATATATACTTTGTGCATCGTGCACAAGACGTGTGATAGCTCGCGACCATGCGATCCTTAAATCCACTCCATGCCTTGACAAGAATCGAGATGGATTCGTTCACCGTTACATTTATCACAGGAGGTTGCGTGTTCTGGACCTACACGAGGCGAATAGTTTTCTGGTCGGCCACGTGTACGGGGTCATTAGTGAGGTAGTAATCAACGTAAATTCAAGTTGGTGGTGAAATGCAGGCCTAGCACTGTCTTTGCATCTATGGGTGGATCATAGGGTTATTCCATGGCCCTGTAGCAACTATAATGGTCTGCCATGTCTAGACGAGCCTATTCAGAGACTGCCAAAATTATACGCCGAGCTAGTCGCTATAACCATGATCTGATCTTGGTGCTCATGAGCGTGCTATTTATAGTAGATGCTCAGCTGGATATGAGAATGATATGGCAAGCTCGTGCTGTGATTCAGAATACTTTACATATCTCTCCCCCATGCCCGGGAGCCTGGGCCGCTCCCAGCTGTGCGATGTTGGTAAAGATAGATGGAATGGCCAGGCTTGGCTCTGGTTTGAGAGAACGACCTGTCGGCGTGAGAATGGAAATGTGCTTTTCACTACTGTCCGGTATGTCCCGGTCACGAGACACTGCGTGGAGAAGGTTAGTGGCCGCCTTATTACGTAATTAGGTATTAGCGTGCTCGTAACATTGGGAGCTTCGTAGGATTAGGGAGAACAACGGACAACTTGCATCTGACTAGACGAACCTCCATAGGCATTCTGTAATGCTAATTAGAGGCCTGCTTTGAGGGCCTAGCCACCGGAAGCCGCCTCGCAGCCCCTACGCTCGAGCGCACAGTCCTTTCGGAGGTTCTAAATTGATGAAACATGCAGGTTGGCTCTGCCTACTTGTCAAGGGTCTCCTTGCATTAAATGGCTATGCCCCGCCATGCCTCCTATTCAGCTCCCATCCAAACAAATTACTCCCCCGAAACTTTTGTTGCATCGCGTAGCGGGGGAATGTTTCCCCCTCGTCATCTCCTTCTCAGCTCGATTAATTAGTTGTGTTAGCTTTCATCGGTCTGCATAGTCAATGGATAACTAGCACCTCGTACAATGCTCCTATCCACTTTTGTTCTGAAAAACAAGAGTAGCAACTTTTTTTAGGTTCGGTCCTGGACCGGCAGGCTAGATGGTTCAATGGTACGCCGTCAGGGCTAATATTCTAACATGGATCCTTACGGCTCCACCCACTCTTTCATCTACGACACGATACATCAGACGCGAATCAAATAAGATCAATTATCGATCATTCGCGGCGCTTTGAGTAACGTGGGCTGTGGATTTCTCTGTAGTCTCGTCCCATAGAGGCAAGTTGACCGTCCCGTGTAGATGAACTTACCCCACGGTATTGTGCACACATGATTATCAGGATTTGAGTGTCCGAAAGCGAGAAACACTCTCCGTTTTGCAAGAGTCTAGCGCACTCAAACCATTCACATGCATAAGACTGGATAAATAATTATTGGATAACATTGCATGTAGCAGGTATTAGAAGATGCAGTCCGAGTGAAGTAAATCTCCTACAATAGTCTTAGACTTATATAGGATGCAAACGATTTTAAAAAAATACACTGTCCATGTCTAGAACTGCGGCTACGCCTCGAAAGCCTCTAGAACTTGCATTTTCCTGGAAAACGTGCGCTCTACTTGTTGCTGCCCGAGTGCGCGACGGTGGATTTGTAGCTTACCATCGTCATCGAAGCCAAAAATCTGCCAAACTTCATTGCCAGTGCGGGCGCGAAATATCGGTTGGTCACCTAGTATAATACAGAAAAGCACTGGCGGCATGGTGAGATGCTATATGTCGGCGGAGGGCGGTTAGGATCTATTCTCGGAACACATGCAAGTCGGTTGAGCTTCTCATAGCTAGATAGCTGAATACAATATGATTAAGAAAAAAAAAAAAGTCGGTTGAATATACCAAAGGACTTTGACGAGTGTGGCAGGCGTGCCAAGGAAGAATAACGCTAAGCAGCTATATCATGTTACAGGCAACAGCGTGGCACAACAGAGGTAGCTAGTAAACTAAGGGCTCGGGTGCTTCGTGGTCAGGCCAGACAACAGCGCATGAAAAGTTGAGAGTCAAATGGGATAGGGCAGCGGCATTGAAATGTGTTCAATACAATGTACATAGCTCAGGGACTCGACATTCAAGTGGGACGCGGTCCGGCACGTGTCCAAATACCTGCAGGAGCGCAAGGTAGCCCAATCAGCCATTTGGCACGTTTAAACACAAAAATAAAAAAGACCCTGATCATGAGCCATAGCTCTATAGATGCATGCGCCATAAACAAAGACAATTACCTATCGGCGGTGTCCCCTGAGAAGCTGGGAGGGAATATTCTCTGAGGCAAGGCCAGTCAAATCTCGCATCACCCATGAATTAGCCTCCGTGGCAATGGTCCGTGACTCTATGCCGGATCAAATTTTCACTGTCAGGAAGATCTGTTCCTACTTAAACTTCATCAAGTCCGGAGGAACAACCTTGTATATCCCCATTTCAATGAACACACCTCTCATCGACTATTCTCTGGCCTCAGATGGCCTTCAGACACACGTCAAGTAGAATACAAATACCCGCGAGAGGACAAAACTCGAGGTGCGCAAGTTTTGGAGGCAAATCTTCGAGATGGACGTGAGAGAGATCCGAACAAGTTTATAAGTTGGCGTAGAGGATGAACTCACTCTCGAGGGCACGACATTTTCATTCTGACTAGCAGTTTTAAGGATTAAAGAGCCATGTACGCTCTACTGCTTGTTTTTTCCCATGACACTCAACGCGCATTCACCTTTCTAGCTATGACACAGATCAGTGCCTTGAGTGCACGTTAAGTGACTCTGAGGCCGTTGCAGAGGCTCATGCTCTGTATTTTATTGGCGAATATCTACATGAGTTATGCTTTTTTTAAAAAAGAATTAGACCATTATCCGTGACTATCTGACAAAGGGAAGTTTCAAAAGGTCTGGTAGCCGTGTTCGCGAGCACCGCCAAAAATGTAGTCGAGATTTGCCGGTCTCGAACCAAATATTTTTGTATCAAGGGGAATAGATGTCCAAGTTATTCTATCTTTATTTTGGAGACTTACTCAAGTGATATGCAACTGCCCCATCGGGCTGTAAATGTGTCTACGGTATCGCCTGCATTCCACGGCTTGGTTTGCGAGAGCGCTATAGACACTTTCAATATCGTGATGGTTGAATGGTGCAGCGGTATATTACTCGGGTCAGTTACCCGAGTAGAGTCTCGATAGCTTAGACACCCATCCCATTTGAGACTAGAGATATTTAGCTCGAATCCAGTAATTCTCGACTACACTTTTGGCGGTATTCGCGTTCATGGCGACCCGACCTTTTGAAACTTCCCTTTGTCAGATAGTCACGGATAATGTTCTAATTCTTTTTTAAAAAAAGCATAACTCATGTAGATATTTGCCAATAAAATACAGAGCATGAGCCTCTGCAACGGCCTCAGAGTCACTTGACGTGCACTCAAGGCACTGATCTGTGTCATAGCTAGAAAGGTGAATGCGCGTTGAGTGTCATGGAAAAAAAATACCCGAAGGATGTTATCCCAAACCCAACAAAACTAAGATGCGTCTGAATTGG